TGCTGGTGATGGAACCCAGGCTCACACATGCCAGGCAAATGTTCTGCAGGTGCTCTCCCTCTGAGCTCCCACCCCTTCCCCTGGCTTCATACCTTGAGAGCCATGGAATTAGGCTACTGGGACAAGAGAGGCAATTCTGTTCACCACGTGCCTCCAGAACGCTCTAGAGGTGCTAGCCATAGCCCACCATCCAGCACTGACCAACCACCAGGACCCAGGAACTGTGTGCTCCCAGGACTACCAAGTGAGGTGAGGCACAGAGACAAGCAGAGGGCAGACGCTGGCGCCAGCTGGATCCAGGTTCAAATTCTGCCTCTGCTGGCTATGCGCTGTGAGACCTGAACGTGTTGTTTAAATCTCAGCTGCCCTGCTTCCTGACCTGCCCAGAAGGTGTTATGTCCACTGCAGAGAGCGTTAAGGGTGGGTTATGGGGGTGAAGAGCTGCCCTTTGGGTATCCTTTGGGATTGGGTCCTGCTCAGTCACTGACTGACCTGGTCCTCTCATGACCCTCTGCTACAGGGTTATTGACAGCTGCATTTGCTGGTAAGAAAGCTGGGACTAGACGAAGAGGGGACTTGAACTCAGCCCGTCTGGTCCCCAAACACCACACTACACTGTTCACTTATAACACAGGAAAAAGACCTCAGATGTGCCCTGGGGCTCCGGGGCTCGGTTTGAGAGGCAGGGTTCCTTCAGACCCATCAGACACCCAGCCTGGGAGACCCACAGGAAACTGACTCAGGAGAGGGCTCCGGGTGGGCTCTGGGCTCCCCCACAAAATCATCTACTCTTCACTGGCACGGAGGCACTCCTCTGGGCCAGGCTCAGGACTGGACACTCTGGACAGGGACCACGCTCCACAGCCACTCGGGGAGCAGGGCCTGCTCCCAGACACCAGGATGGAGAGGAGGCAGGAAACAAGGGCATGCGTCCCAGGGGAGGGCCACTCACTGCCTGGTCAGGAGGCACTCAGACCAGACTCCCGCCCCACCTGGGAGGCTGAGGTCTCCCATCACCCTAGCCCAGCCCTGGAGCTGCCCCTTTAAGAGGTCTGGCTGAGCCCTTTAAAAGGAGAGATGGCTGAGGCTGCTTCCCACCATGTGCCCCCTCCAGCTGCAGCTGCAAGAGTCCTGGCTGCTAGACCAGGCTGAGCGGGGACCGGGGAGCCCCCTGCTCCTCCCTTGACCTCCCAGCCACCCCTCCGCCCACCAGCCCAGGTCCCTGTGCCTGGGTCAGGCCCCTCCACAGCCCAGTTGTCCCACCGGCTCTTGACCGTTCCCTGGCTGGACTCCTGGCTGGGCTGCCCCCGCCCTTCCCTTCCCGCTCCGTGCTTGGCAGCAGGGGGAGAGTCTGTTCCCGAGCAGGGCCCAGGGGGCCGGCCAAGGCCAGCGAGTGCAAGGGGGCGGAGGGCAGTGCTGTCTAAAGGGAACCCCTTCCCCACAGCGCCAGCTCCACCCGCCACTGGGGTGTGGGGCCAGGGCTGGCAGGAAGCAGGACCAGCCTGGACTTGAATGCTAGAAGCATCTATCTGCACAGACGACTGAAGCAAGGGGCTAGGCTTCTAGAAGAACAGACTAGCCAGGAAGAGTCCAGGCTCCTGCAAGGACAGAAAAGCCCGGTCTGGCTTCCATCAGAAGAGCTCGCGGCCACAGGTCCCCGCGAGCATCTTCGCTGCACCTAACACTATGCTAGGCACCGTACAGCCCTGAGACCAGTCCACACCTGTGTCTGCCCTCCTTCCCAATTAGTGGCAACCACGGCACCCACCTAGTACCTGGAGAGCTGTGGGGGGAGCACCGGCAGTAGGCTTCTCTCCATCGCCACGTGTTCCTCCCTATGGGCCTGCTTGCTCTGCCCCAGCCCCAGCCTGGTGTCATCAGTCCCTCAGGAGCCCCAGCTCGGGGTCCCTGAGCTTCCTTGGTAATGGAAAAGTCCCTCCTCCCCTCTCTGCCATCCTCCTACCTGCTGGGAGGCGGTCAGCAGAGGACGCACAGGGCCGTGGTGTAGCTTCTTGCAGAAAGAATCAGGCTCCCTGGGACTGTCCCAGGGCATCCTTGTGCTGTCACCCACCTGAATCAAAGTGAGGTGGCAAGGGGCCACTGAGAAGGGACGGCCGCCCAGACCTGCGCCAGGAGGCCCAAGGTCAAGTCTGTGCCAGTCACTTGTGGGCAGAGTGGCCTGGGCCCTCCCGCTGCCCTCCTGTCTGGGAGGTGTGCTGCGTGGCAAGGCTGGAGCGCAGGCCTTCACGGCCTGGACTGAGAGGGGCCGGGAAGGCGATGGGGCCCTCGAGGCTGCCCCCGCCTTTGTTTGCTTTATGGAGTAAAAGAAAACACTTTGAACATTTTATGGGGATTTGGGGAGGGGGGAGGGGTCAGGAGGAGGCTTCATCCAAGAGAAACAGCCTCAGAGGAGGAGGATCAGCCAAGAAAACCCGAGGGCAGGGCCAGGAGGGTTCTCGAGCTCAGCCCCATGAGAGCTGGAGCGGAGGCAGGAGCCAGGAGCCAGAGAGGCCACAGGAAGAGACCCCTGGGCTGTGGGTCCCCGCCATAGCAGCAAAGCAGTCCCCTGCCCCTGCAGCGGCCTGAGTCCACCGGAAGCCCCGCCTCTCCTCCTAGGGCAGGTCCATCCATCCTGTCCACCATCAGGGTCTCACTCACTCACTCTTGGGTTAGTAGAGGACAGACTCTCGGGGGAGTCCACCAGAGACGGAGGCCAGGGGTGGTTGCTGAGGACCCCACCAAGAAGGGGTGGGTTTGGGCCCACCACCAAAGGCGGGTAGAGGGCACCAGGTGGAGGAGCAGGAGGGAAGGGCAGGACCTGGTGCTCTTGATGGGCGGGAGGCCGGGAAGGGAAGCCGCACCCCAGCAGGCCAGCCGTCCCCAGCAGGGCCCTCACTGCTGCGGGCCCTCACCACTGCCCCAGGCGGGAGCCACGCGGGTACCCAGCACTCCCTGGGCCCCTCTTCTCCAAGCTTCCAGAGGGTCTCTAGTGAGACCCCAGCTGGGACCCCTTCCACCCGGCCAGGGAAACCCTCAAAGGCCACCTCTCCCACCCCTGGAAACCCACCTTCTGCTTCCTCCTCGAGGGTCACAGATGTCCTCTGGCTTCTGCCCTCAGAGGCCAAGGTCTTGCAGTTCAAGCTCAGGGATCATCAGAGCAGCTGGGAGACTGCAGGGCGGTTTTCACACGGAGGAGGCGGCAGCAAGTGAGGAGATGAACAGAGGCCTGGGAACGGTCGGCCGGGAGCCCTCCCGCATCCTGGTCGCCCTCGCCGCCCCCAGCAGCAGCGAGGGCTCCCCCGCAGGGACCCTGGGATTCCAGGGGTGTCCCCAGATGCACTCCTCCCAGGGTGGAGCATGGTTCCCAAGCCCTAAAGGGTCTTTCAGCCAACTGTGTGATTATCCCCAGGGGAATCCCAAGGGCCCTTCGTCTCAAATTAGCACCTGAAGACATTAAAAACCGCCAGATCAGTACTGCCGCTGGGAAGGCTGGCTGCCGCCCAGGACGCCAGGGGAAAGAGCAAGACTAGGAGCAGCTCTCCACCGAACTCCTCCGCCCGGGGCAGCCTCTCTGGACTTCTGCATAATGATAATAAGTTGATACTGATATAGTGAGAGGTATAGTTTATGGAGAGCTTACTGCTGTCCAGGTTATGGACTAAACACAGGAGGACTCTATGAAGCAAGTCGGTTTTCACCTCTTTACAGATTAGGAAACTAAACTCAGAGAAGTAACTTGCCAGAGGTGAACAAGCAACAAAGAAAAGAATGAGGACTCTGGCCCAGCCACTCTGACTCTAGGACTCCACAGACAGCAGACTTAACTTCTGTGCTGTATGGCACAGTGCTTTTGTGTCCTCATTGAACAAATGCAGAACATCTTGGGCTGGGCAAAGGACATCAAGAGAGAAATCGTGTTACAGCCCTCAAGGAGCGTCCAATCTAATGGGCAAGAAGATAAATAACGGATGGTAGTGCAATGTTATTGCTATTATTATAGATGAATATAAGATCTTGGATGTATTAGTCAGGTTATTTAATGCAAGCTGCTTTAACAAATAGCCCCGGCATCTCATGGTCTTAACAAGACATCACATGGTGCAATGCATTGGCGGGGCTTCTGCTCCGTGCAAGTGTTCCAAGATCCAGGCCTCCTTGGAGTCTTTTACTGCAATCCTCTACTAGAAGTCAGTCAATAAGAGAGACATCACAGAGGGCTCCATGAACATTTTACAGTCTGGACCAGAAACCACGCCTTGCTTGCTTGTATTCCACTGGCTAGAGCCAGTCACAACACCTGCACTTACCTGAAAGGGCAGTTGCGAACTAATCCAGTACTGAGGAGTAGGTACCTAACAGGTGTCTGTCACAATGGGGGAGACAAAGGAGAAAGCAGCAAAGTCTATGTGGCTGAGCAGGTGAGCATCAGTCTGGGACCAGTGGTGCAGTGGGCAGTGACCAGGACATCCTGGGTGAACTGGAGCAGGTCTGGAATTTGGAAAATTAGAGGAAGTGACCGGGCAGGTGACTAGGGAAAGAGCCACAGAGATGACACCTGCGCTCTGATCCCAGATCTGTGCACTATGGGCCCCACAGGCACAGCCCCTAGTGCAGTGTCCTCGTGGGTAAAATGGCCTCTAGAGCATCCGCTGGAGGTAAGAGGCGCAGTCAGCACATGCAGGAGACACTCTCTAAGCAGAGGCCATCCCTAGCCGGTTACCCTGGAGGAAAAAATTTCATCTGATGGCCACCACTCCCAGCCCTGAGGCCCTGAGGCAGGCAAACTCCATGGAGAGGCCACAGGCTGCCCCAGGAGGGAGCTGAAGACCTCCCCTCCCGACTCCCACAATAGGCAGCACCTGACATCATTGGGGCCATTATTTAACACAAAGGTGCAGTGAAAGGAGGGGGTTGTCCCCAGGCCTCACAGGCCCCAAACAGACCAACTGGTTGTGGCTGCCTGGGGACTATGGTGAGATTTCTGGCGTCTGATCTGGGTTCCTGGGAAAGCATGCCCGCATAGATTAGTGCCGTCTGCCGCCTGCGGGGCTTGGGCACAGACAGTAGCATCACATTCGGGGGAGATCATGAGGTGCCCTGATCCCCTCACCAACCTCCGCCATCTCCCTGAAAGGTTTGATCATCGCTGTGGAAGATGGCTTCAAAGTAAGTCTAAAGTGCTCACCAAGCAGAGCGCGGGCCCTGGTCACCTCCACCAGCACTGGGACCCCGAACTCTGCAAGGGGCTGAGGTGCCCTAAGCCCAGCACACATCGGTCTCTGCCCTTCCCTTGCCTAACAGCAGCCCTGTTTCCTCTTGAGGAATGTCCTGATCCCTGGTACCCATTGGCATCTTTTCTAATTTGCCTCCACCCCACCCAAGTTTGGAATTCGAATCTCAAAATGGTGAGACAAAAAGACTGGAAGTGGTCGTTTCCACCACAAGGGTAGCTTGCTGCCCAGGTGTTTAAGCTCAGAGTGAAGTGAGTGTGAAGCTCAGGTGTCAGGAGTGTCCCCTTCCTGACACCCCATCACAGATGTCTTCACCTAGCCCTGCTGCTGTTTGTGTCCCCAAGTCCCTTAGGATAGAGAACCTGGCTCATTCACTGATATATTTTGAAGGTTTAGTGAGCTGCCTGCTTGAAGTGTTCAACAACAATTCTTGCCATTCTTGGATGACTGAATAAATGGATGCAAGAAAACAGGTAAGTCCTGCATCAGATAATGAGACTGAAACATGAGATCTGCTTCTCACTTGCCATGTGACCTTGGCAAGTCTGTTCCTGAGACTCAGTTCTCTCATATTTAAAAAGGAAACAATGACACAGTCCCAGGATTGTTGACAGGTTTAAATGAGATACTGGAGGTGAGATTGCTTTATGAACTCTAAATGGTGTGAGGGTAATTATTCTCATCACTAAGGTACAGAAGAAGTTGCAGAATACAAAAAAGCAGGCTCACCCTAGCACGTGTTTTCTTTGTTCAAAACAGTCTGTGATTCAATGTCTTTATTAAACTGAAAGTTCCAGAAAACTTAATTCAAACCAGCTTAGTCAATAAGAGAATCTATTGGCTCAAGACCTTGGAAATTTTTCTGGCACTGGCTTCAGGTAAGGTTTGACCTAGTGGTCTAAATGATGTCACCAAAGACCTAGTTTCTAAGCACCAAAGACCCAGTATCTACACACTAATTGGTGGCCCGGTTCCTGAGCACATGGTAAAAACTGAAGACATTTTTGTTGGGAAAATAAACAAAATTGGCCTTATGAACATAAACTTTGATGATTCAGGAATCAGGGTCTTTGGTTGCATGCAACAGAAACTCACTTCAGCAGAAGAAATGCATTGGAAGAAGTGATCGAGAGGCTAGAGAATGAGGCTTGGAATGGAACAGGATATTGGAAGGGCCAGGTCAGAAAGGGCCTTGTTAGCCATCGCGGAGTCCCAAGTTCAGCGGGAAGGCACGGGGGAATCTAAGCAGGAGGGCAATGTGTTTCAGTTTGCATTTAAGAAAAATTCCTGGGGCCGAAAGCTACAGGAAAGATGGAGGGAAGAGGAGGGGAAGGAGATTAGAAATGAGGTGCTGTTGTTCAGGTCAGAGGTGGTAGAGGCCCAGCTGGAGCTTGAGAATTGAGACCCGGCAATGAAGGGAATAGACAGGATATGGAGTCGGGAAGTGGCAAGAGCGAAGACCAACCCACAGGTCCCAGGCCTGACCCCTGGACAGGCATTGACCTGCTCACTGACACAGCAGAGAGGACAGGGGAGGGGACCCCCCACTGGGTCCCTGGTGGAGCTGGCGATGCCACTGGTCCTGCGCAGGCCTCTGTCAGGCAGGCAGCCCAGGGCCTGGCGGGGAGAAAGCCGTACAGAAGGATGCCCAGTTTGGTATCGACGTCAGGGTAATTCCAAACTCTTTTGGGTACAGAGCTGAGCCTCTAGAGCCAAGTTCTGGAATGCTCTTTGCCTCTGGCTTCCTGCCACACGCATCATCTGCAGAGAATATTCAGAGATGTAAACATGATGATTTCATCAAGGTCCTCGTGTTAGGGGACACATGTGCAGGCGATGGCAGCCCATCAAACCGTGGAAACTCTGACCCGGGAGGCTGAGACACAACAATGCGGCGGCTCCCTCCCCCGCACCCCTTCGGCCCCCGCCCCGTCCACAAACGTGGTTAATTAATGTAATGAATTACCGCGAACCTGGACGGCGCCTCGGATTTGCTGACAGCTGATACAAACAGAGGCGGTGGCCAAGAATCCCAGCGCGTGCATCACACACACACACACACACACACACACACACACACACACACACACACGGCTCCACCAAAAATAGCTTGCAACTGGGTTTGTAACTCGGTGACTTTTCCATCTGTGCTGGAACATGGCAAGAAGTGACGGCCCTGCGCTGCAGAGAGGAGAGCGGGAGAACCTCGAGTCCCTGACACTCGGGCTGCGTGGGGGCCTGCACGTATCTAGGGGCCTCTCCTCTGCCCTCCCAGACGCCCCCTCACTGGCTCCCTTCAGCCACCCTGCACTTCGTGAAAGAAGGCAGGACTGGCACTTCCTGAGGACCTACTATGTGCTTGAGCTTTCTTTACCCAGTAGAACTTTTGGGTTGTAAGCAACAGAACTCCAGTGGGAACCACCTGGGGCTACAAAAGGGGATGGATGTGGGAAGGGCCTGGAAATATCTCATAGATAGGCTCCAGCAAAAATGGAATACCACGAGCCAGGAGAAGGGCAGGGGCAGCCGGAGCCAGGGATCCACCCACAGAGCCCAGAGCCGTGGACAGGCGGACGCAGTCGCTGACTCTCGCTGTTCACAGATGCCATCTTTGGGAATTCTCCTACTTGCCACACCCGCCAGGACCTCCGGAACACCCTGGCCACAAACCCACCGGTGAAAATCTCTGCGTGACCCGAGGCAAACCCTCCTCCCACCAGCGTGTCATGAACCAGTCTCCTGGTCAGGATCCAGGTAGTGCCACCGTTGGCTCATCGTTGAGCTTTTCCTTAGTGATTCTGCACCAGGCATCGCCCTGAAGCACCTTGCAGAGAAAGGCAGGTGCCCGAGAGCTTCACCCAGGTGGTGAAAGGTCCCTGTGGCCGGGGCTAACCTATCAACTACACCTGTCCAGCAAGGTGTGCGAGCAGCGCATGCGTACCACAGGGCTCTGGGGAGTGGATTGGGTGATGAAGACGCTAGGACCCGAAGCTCACAGGAGCCCACCTCTGGGCAACGGCCCGGGTTCGCTCATTTCTGCAGCATGATTCCAGAATTAATAAGGATCGGCTGAATCTCCTCTATCTGGCCCTCTCCAGCCTCCCTCTGTCCAGCTGTGGGCCCTTAGGAGGGAAAGACGCAGGCTAATGGTAGCTGCCCAGCCTGGTGTCTCCTGGCCTCCGTCACCAGAGAGGGCCTTCATTTAAAACGCCTAGGCCAACACAGACTGTAGAGGATGGGCAAGGCCATCTAAGGAGAGGCGTCTCCAGGTGCACTCACTCAAGCTCCAGGAACTGTAGTTCCTGAAAGCCACAGGAGGCCGAGGCAGGAAGATCTCGAGTTCAAAGCCGGCCTCAGCAACGACCAAGCACTGGGCAAGTCAGTGAGACCCTGTATCTAAATGAAATATTTTTTTTAAAAAGGGTTGGGAATGTGGTTCCGTGGTTAAGCACCCCTGGGTTCAATCCCTGGTACCAAAACCAAAACCACCACCACCAACAACAACAAAAGAACCCTGTTCTCATGTGACTGGGGAAAGGACTGAGCAGCCAAGCAGGTCGCCCACCTGCACAGGCAGGTGCACATGCAGGAACACGCACATATTTAATTCTTATTGCACAAATTTTACTACGTCCACATACCACCTGCCACAATGCCAACTAGTTTCCCTTAATTCTTTTTCCTTGCTTATATGTACTTAAAAGGAAAATTAAGATTTCTTCCATATACAGAAATTAATCATCAAAATAAACTCATAATGATAAAAAAAAAGCAAATGTTAGTCCTTGAACCATGGACCCCCTCTCACCTACAGCTGGGCACGTTTACAAATGGGCTCCTGTCCCCACTGGGCTGCTGAAGCTCTGCCCAGAAAATACTAAAAGCCCCTGAGAGCCAGGATGCCGGGGCTGCGCCTGCATCTCCTCTCCAGCCAGACCCGGAGAAGAGGAGGAGTGGAGGGCAGGGGAGCAGAGGAGGGAAGGGGCTCCCCCTGACCTGGCTGAGCCTCTGACCTCACCTCTCTGGACTGGACCTGCCATGAACTAACATTTCGCCATGTGCTGTTTCTGCTCAGCACCTTTGTCTGGATCGTGTCCTCCTCCTGAAATACTCTCTCCCTTCTTTTCATGCCTCGTTCTTCAAATTCCACCTCCTCTTTGTATCAATTGGGAATCTTGCAGCAGCACGTAACAGAAAACCCAACTGAAAGAGGTCTGTATACAAGGAAGTTTGTTACCTCAATGAGAAGACCCCCACATAGCTTAATTCAGCAGATGAACGATGTCATTAAGAACCCAGGTTCCTCCCATCTCTTTGCTCTGCCATCCTGTAGTTCCTGAAAGCCACGGGAGGCCAAGGCAGGAAGATGGCGAGTTCAAAGTTGGCCTCAGCAACGACTAGGCACTGGGCAAGTCAGTGAGACCCTCGGTGCAACAGCTAACTCTCTATGTGGTTGCAAAATGGCTGCAACATCTCCACCATCACATCCTCACCAAAATCCAGACTCAGAAAAGGGATCACAGATTCTTTGTGTCTGTTTTTAAGATTCTAGAAACTTCTTTAGAAGCATGCCCCACCCCACCCCACCCCAATTTCCCCTTGTAGTTCATTGACCAGAACATCATCACTCTCCCCTTTAGCCAGGTACTGGCAGAAAGAAAGCAATTAGCATGATTGGATGAGAAATCAGACCCACCCCTGAGGATGAAGATGGAGGAAGGTGTCTCCGAAGCCCATGACCCCACCAGGGAGCACGGACCCTGAGCCAAGTCTGCATTCTGTAGTGAGAAGCCACTCATGTTCTTTTCCATACCTCCTTTTAAATACCTCCCTACCTGAATAGAACCTCTGTGGCCAGCCTTCTCTCCCCTTCTAGACTCTTCCACAGACCACCACCTGTCATCTACCTCTGTCACCTAGATTTGTTGGATAGCCATACACTCAATTTAACAGATAGATGATGGGTACATGATGGTGTGTGGGGTGCACGCCTGGTGCTGGGACCACACCAGGACTTGGACCTGCTGGGCAAGTGCTCTGCCCCAGACACCATCCCAGTCCCCCTACAATTTATAACTAATCTGCTGTGAACCTGTCTCAGTCACCAGGCTGCAAGGCCCTGCTGAGGGTAAGAATGGGGTGGCCGGGCGAGCTCCTTGCACTGAGTCTGCTGAATTGCGGGTGAGGGAGGGCGGAGGAGAGCGGGAGGAGGAGGGGAGAGGGGACTAGCGGAATGCAGGCTTTGCTCACAGACAAAACAGTCCGCCCAGAGGGCCAACTCTTTGACTGGGCTGGAGTGTCTATTGTGGAAAATAATCATCTGTTAGCTTAACAACCCCTTTTACCTGAATTACATGTAACAGAATACACGGTATTGCCTGGCGGCAGGGAGGCAGAAGTTCAAGCCCACCTCCGTGCTCTCTAGGGCAGCCACTAATTGCCCGAGGTTTAGGTCAAAGGTTATTGCAGGATTAAAATTGCCAGTAAAATAAAAGCAAGTCCTGGATTCCCAAATTAGCTAATTGCTCCCTCCTGGGTGGTTTCTCTTCTAATAGGAGCGTTCTCGGGCCAGCAGGTGCCCCTGCCCCACGGAGCCTGATTCCCAGCCCTTTCCTGCTGACCTCAGCCCCATTCTCCCCAGGGGCCCCCCATTCTCCCCAGGCGCCTCCCAGCTCATGTGGAGGGTGTGGAGGGGCAAAGTGGGGGGGAGGCTAAAAGAGGGAGAGGGAGCAATCTGAGAGTCCTGTCCTGCTGTCAGCCGTCCCAGGAGCCTGAGGTGCGCTCCAGAACCTGTCCAAAGAGCCAAGTGGCTGAAATGATGCAGGCCCAGGAGGAAAAGAGGATCCCAGGTTGGAGGTGGGAAATGTAGGGCATGTGGGGATGACCTGAGACCTCTTGTCACACCAGAAAGCAAAGAAACCATCAAAGCATGGGTATGAGATGGACAGCATTACCCCAGGGACATGTATGACTGTCCATAGGGTGCAACACTACACCGTGTACAACTAGAGAAAGGGACACTGTGCTGCAATTGTGTACAATGAGTCAAAGTGCAGTCTGCTGTCATTTTTACCTAATTAAAATAAATTAATTAATAGAAAGAAAAAAAAAAGCACGGGTACGATGGGAAAAGGACACTTGGAGTCCTCACTGGCCAGATGTGGATGACTGCAACTTCAAAAAGAATAGCCATTGCTAGGGTTTGGAAAGCATTAAGTAAGTTTTAAAATACAGAAGTTCTTAGAAAGCCAGGCATGGTGGCTCACAGCTGTAACCCCAATGACTCAGGAGACTGAGGCAGGAGGATCGCAAGTTCGAGGCCAGCCCGGCAACCTAGAGAGTCCCTAAGAACTTAGTGAGACTGTGTCTCAAAATAAAAATAAATAAATAAAGGGAGGGAGGCTAGGGATGTAGCTCCCTGGGTTCAATCTCTGGTTCCAAAAAAAAAAAAAAAAAGAAGAAGGTTCTTGGAGACCCTTAAAAAAGCTCACTGGCCATCTTTGGAGGATGCTAGTTAGCAACATTCTGAAAACTAGTGAATGAAGAGAATCAGACACTGCGGTCTTTGGGTAGGGATGGCATGCGCATCAGAGGGTAGCTGATGGAGAGACATTCTTCTGCATAGAAGTCCGTCAATAAATGGAGAAGTGGGTGGGGTTAGAAACTCATTTTGCCAGGCTCCCAAAATCATGGGTGCAGGCTCAGGTGTGTTGACTTGGCCCAGCTGACACAGTGGGAGAGCTCCTTGCTGTGGGCTGTCCTGTCTATTGTGGGTGACCCCAACCGCCTGGGCTGTACCCTCTAGAGCAGCAGGCCTCCACCCCCAGATGTTGCAACACACTGCCCCATGTCCACGGGGACAAAACCACCCCCACTGAGAACCACTGACCCCCACGTGGTCCCCAGTGGCTGCTCAGCCGGAAGGTGAGGCCAGTGAGGAGCTGACCTCGCTTGACAAAAGCAGCCCAGGGAAGCTGAGGGGGCTGGGACCCATGGCCACCACCCAGCTCCACCTGCCCTGGCCTCGGGGTCTCCAGCAAAACAGAGACCACGCAGGTCCCTTCCAGCTTTCCCATTCCTCGTTCTTCCCAAGAAGTGGCCAACTGCTCTGGTACCAGACTCAGGTCCTCGCCCTGGCTCCTCCTCCTCCTCCCAGAGGAGCAGGGGGGAGGGAGGAGGGGAGGCCGATGGTCCTCCGCCCTGGCTGCAGCTCCCTGTCGCGACTCCCCCTTCTCCCCGCTTGGGTTTCTGAAGCGCCTCCTCCTCCATGCAGCCTTCCCCACCCCATCCTTCCCCCTGCGCCTCGCAGTCACTGTCAACCGTCCCCTCCACAGACCTGCGGGGGCAGAGTGTGCCAGGGGCGTCTCTAGCTCCAAGGAAGCCAGGACAGAGGTGGCACCGAG